CATTTTCAAGTCTTTTTTTCACTGTCCTTTTGACTGTCATAGGTGAAACTCCTCTTGCATGTGCCAAAAATGTTATGGGTTGAGTTGGATTTTTTCTAATTGATCTCTTCAGCTCTAAGTTGAAATGATCATCTCTCTTCCTGTTGTGACCTCTTGAACCCTTTTTCCTTCTGTTCCCTATTTTTAAACTTATTCACCATTCTCTTGATGGTTCTTGAATGCACTTTGAAGATGGAAGCCAGGGTATGATTGTTGGTACCATTACTGAAAGCCTGAATGATCTTTTTCCTCTTACCATTGTTCAGTAGAGAAGACACAAAATAATTCTAACTGGTTTTTTTTTTTTTTTGCTAATGCAAAGGATTTTTTAGTGATTCTTATGACAAATGGTATCAAGATGGCTAAACATCTGAAAAGATGAAAAAACTCAATCAGTTTAGTGGTTTAGCTGACAATTTTTCTGTTATGCTCAGTACAATAAAATGAAGTGTTACTTGTAATTGTCAGAATTTGAATGTGTGAATTAACAGGGGTTTAATTAGGTGGACCAACAATACCAGTCACTGGAAAAATGACAATTGAGAGAAAACAGCTAGCTGTAAACTACACCCTCGTGCAAATTAATTGAAACAACTGCATTGGTTTCCTTTCTTTTACCATTCTGTCAGTTTTAGACCCACTGGAGTGACAATACCTATTTATTTTTCAAATTAGGTCATTTGCAGTGGTGTGCAGTAATATGAATCTATTTTCAGGGTGTATGATGAAATTTGTTTGGCCTTGAAAAATATTGCAATTGTATCAAGAGTTTTATCATGCACAGACACTATTGTCTTGACTGTCAATTACTTGTCCTATGGCCATTGTTCCAAGGAAGTGTATGAAAATTGTAACGCTGCACGAACGCACTGGCAAGCCTTACCAGTGAGCAAAGCAAAGTACTATCGACTGGCTTGGAAACTCTGCTGATTTAAATCCTATCAAGAATCTGTGGTCAATCTGCAATGAATGACTTCATGGAATGGACATATGAAGTATTAACATGTGCACTGGATCATGTTTCATTGGAAAAGTACAACAAAAAATAGTAAATAATAATGGAATTATTCATTTTACTTCTATTAATTTGCACAAGGCTTGCTCTGGCCAAAGTTCAAGGTTAGTATTTGTTGGTTTGCTTTGATTATATGTTAAGAAGGAAATTCCATTAAACTTAGTAGTACATTACAGGAATTTGAGATTAGCACTCTTTTCTATTCCTGTGGAAATCTGTATATCACTTTGTAAAGGTCATATTCCCTATATATATATATATATATATACTAGCAGTAGAGCCTGGCGTTGCCAGGGGATGTAACAGTAAGAGATAGATCAAGTATCGACCATCATAAAGACTGAAAAATAAAATTGACAAAGATTATTGTTTAAGGTTGACGGACACGCATGTCTTAATTAGTTTTTTTTTTTTTTTTTACGAATTGGTCAAACCCAAACTTAAACAAAAACATTGAATAGAATTTTATTATAAACAATTGTCTTGTAAATGGAATTTTTAAAGCATTCTGAATGTATAAATAAAGAAAAAAGTGTGCAAGACAATAAGAAACACTACCTGCCAAAAAAAAAAGTGAAGTTTTGTTGAAATCGGTTGAAAAATGTAGTAAATCCGGTCCCATATATAAACGAACACATACAAACAACCTGGGTTTTATAATAAGTATAACTCGATATGAGTTGTCCCTTTTTCATTCTTGTACTGCCTCTTAATCATGTTTTCAAATTGATTTCGTGCAAAAATAATTTTTTTTCCCAATTTTTGGCACTGTTAGAACCACTGCAAGGTAATTTCATGTAGTCCTGTGAAGTTTTGTTGAAATCGGTTGAAAAATGTAGGAAATCCCATCCAATATATAAACGTACAAACACACACACACACATTTCTGCGTTTTATAATAAGTATGATTTTACTGAGGTAAATTTTATTTTAACCCTTTTGCACCAAAAGCCATTGATCATGTAATTCTTGGATTTTACAAGTATCAGGGTTACAACCATGGGAAACAGGAACTTTTTATCTTGATTCAAAGACCTATTCCTTTCTCTCTTTTTTCTTTTGAAGACATATTGGTCTGGTTTGAATTGGAATGGAACAGTATTCAGATTGTGTCAATAGTCTTTACTTACTTGATTTAACCTCATCAATGCTTTTCTTGCATCTTCATAGAAGCAACTGTTCTTGTCAACAAGCCTGTCAGCTTTCTTTTGACTTGTATATCTTTAGTGAAAAAAAAAAGAAGGAACACTTTATCTGTAGTGCATTACATTACTGCTGTCTATGCAATTATATGTCATGCATGATACACACTTAGGTGATCCTGTCTCTTTTGATACATGACTGACGAGGCAGATTTATTTCCTGCAGTAGATTGCCATTTCTTTCTGTAGTAGACCAGTTGCCATCCAAGGATATAGAACCCAGTCTGTCCTGCTATTTACCCATAGCTGAGGGGAGAAGAGGATTCATACCTTTCTGTTGTGGTGTCCTTCCTCTTCTGCCTACTATAAGATTAGAAGGAGAGAAGGCCTTTGGGGAGAAGTTGAATAGATTGAACGCTGGTTCAACAGACACACACTCACTAGTTGTGTAATACTTTTCTGTTGTACTTACTCTTTAATATATCTGTAAAACTTGTTTTATTACTTTAACCATTTACTTGATCACATCACTTTACCAAGGGTATTAGCACGTAAGTGAATGTAACAGATTCAAGTGGACTTCAAACTTGGCTCTCTGATTCCTCAATCTGAGCCGCTATCCATTACTCCACCATGCCTCCTCAAGTCTAAGCACAAAGCTGAAATCATTTGGAAGATTTTTTTCTTTACAGAGTTTTGTCTTTTCAACGCTATTATTACAGAAAAACAATTGAACAATGAAATTCTTATCGTGAAAATAAAAGCTGTCAAACAACTTCTTTTATTTGAACATGTTCTAATTCTATTTTAAAAACTTCAGGGAAATCCTAATTGTAGTTTCAGGGCGTAGCATAAATGAGCTTGTGTTCCTCTGATGTTGCTTGTACAACACTAAATACTTCTTTTAAAATCTGCCATTCTTAAGTCACCAACTTAAAAATCAGTTTCCTTCTCACTGCATTACCCAATCAAATGGCATCATCCAGTTTGACCAATCAACACGCAAATTGCTATTGGTTGAACCACGCTAAGCTGTAGAGAAGCGACCATCACAGAAAATAAGTTTATCTTCAGCTAAAAAATTAATTTATCTATAAAATTGACCATCCTGCAGGAGGTCACACCGAAGGAGTGAAGCGGGCCTCGCAGAACAGACAGGGAAGATATTCGCTGAACTGTACACCCTCCTCTCTACTTTGCTCGCTTTTAGCAGCGGGTTACAATCCAATACTAATAAAATCTGGTTTACTGCTACAAATTCTTGTTTTTCACTCGTGGGTAATGATCTAGCTGAAGGGTAATTTTTAAGCCATAAGCGTTTGAATGGAAGGAACTCTACCCTATCAAAGAACACCTGGAATGAATGAAAAAAAAAAATAAATGCATTCATCCTACATCTTTTGGGAGCCCATGTTCCAATCAATGTGGAACTCAACAACAACTTTTTCACACTAATTACATTGTTCAGACAGTTGTCCTCATCTTTGATGTCATAATCATAATGTGTTGTCATCGTCATGACGTTGCAGCCTTCTTCAGATGATTAGAATTTCAAACCAATCTCTTTATTTAATCCACAGAAGTAGATTGTTCTAGTTTCATGGGAAGAGGCATGGCATGTGTAAATAGTTTCAATACCCCATCTTAGAAATATAGACAGATCCTGAAGAAGTCTGTGGCCAAATCGTTGTGAATATAACAATGTAAATAGTTACCAGAAATATAGACAAAAACATCCTTTAAAAATTTTTTTCAAATCAAAATAAAAAAGACTGTCAGTAAATTTTTCAATATTACAATTTATTTGCAAGCAATGCTCAAAATACATCAAATTATCCTCATTTTAACAAAGAGCAGTAATCACTAATAAATTTTAATTTTTACAATATATTAGTTCAATGATATAAATACTCAATTTTAATTAACAGAGTTCATATTTTATGATGAAAATATAAGTAACACAAAAATGTGTGATTTATTTTTACATTATAAATATATTTTGCTCATGTAAAGGCGAAGAAGCAATTCTAGATAATTTTAAAAATAATATACTATGTATCTGAACAACTTTTTTTAAACATGGATTAAATTATTAAAATAATTAGTTGAATTATTGAAATTAGAAATTAAAATTACAAATAAAAAGCTAAAAATTTGCAAATCTGATTAAATTCTCATAAAAAAAAACTCAAAATTTTAACTTTATTATGCTGCCTGTGACAACTGTTGCCTTGAGACAGCTGCTAAAACAACAACAAAAAAAAAAAACTCTTGTCAATTGTTATTTCCAGTATTTTACACTGGAAATTGCCTTCTACTGCTTTGGAACACAGATAAACTTTTGTTTTCCAAAGCCATTTTTAATTCTACACTCTACATGAGGCGTAACACTGATTAAACCCACATTAATTTTTTTTTTTCAATTTTTGTAAACAAAAATGGCTGCATCAATAAAAGCCTTTATTCAGTTTTACTTTGATTAGGACTCCAATGAGGATTTCAATTTTTTTGTTTTCAACATCAAAACATGCATGCAAAATGTAATTCATTCCATCAAAATATTACTCATTCATTCTTTTATTAGTGTACAAAAATTAAAATCTATACGCACAATACAAAGAAAGTTATAATGATTTTAAAACAGTAGATATTCACGTATTTGCATCCTCAAAAATAAAAAAGCAGTGGCAGGGGAGACAACTCCAAAAAGAAGTTAGCATGGTAAAAGTTAATAAAAGAAAAATCAACCAGAGAAATTAGGTCTGTGTTTATAATTTAATTATAATGAATAGTTCTGTTGAGGCTTACAGCCATATCATGTTGAAACACCGGTTCTAATCACCAAAGTTAAGCAACACTGAGCTAGATCAGTACTCAGATGGATAACCTCTAGGGAAGACCATGTACTGTATGCTATGTGATAGTCTAAATGGCAAGATTGTCTCTAACAGAAAACGTTGATATGTGAAGCTACCTCTGGACTGACAGGTTGCAAAGATCTACCTGGAGTTGGGCGACTAAGATCTATTGAGATGTTAGAATATTTTTCACAACTTTTCACCCAATGCAAAGATTTTTTTGTTATGAATACTGACTTTAAGACAAAGAAATATAAAACTTTTAGTAGGTTTTCTTTTTGCCACTCAACTGGTGTTAATTTATATTTAAATATTTTCTGTAAAAACGCTACATAAAACCGAGCAATCTCATCTTTGTTACATAACCAGAAGAGTCCTGAATTTGTAACTGAACAAAATGATAACATGATAAAATAATCTTTAGGAATAATATAAAAAGATTTTTCCTGAAGAGTATTTTTTATCCAGTTTCAGAAAAACTGTCCATAATAAAAATTTTACAAACAAAAAAAATAAATTGCAAATTTCTATAAACTTTCATTAGGAAAAAAAATGTGAATATGAAAATGAACATTCACATAGTTTCAAATGACACCATTTATATTTTTCAAAGCTCTACTGGTAAAATATATGACGCTTCCGCTAAAAAAACTTACTATAAATGTCCATAGATCATGAAAATATGTCTATAAAGTATATTTTAATTCTTTCAAATGAAGAACTTGTCACAATATTTGTTGTTGGTGTGTTTGTACATATCTCTTTAACTTTGAAAAGATCTACACATTTGACAATAAGTGGGTTGAAAGTCTGTAAATGTGAATTCTCCAAAAAGACAACATTACAAGCATGGTTTTTATCCAATGTATATACATGTGAATTTTGTACTTTAAAGTTTCAGAAATGTAAATACAGTTTCTATGCAGTGTATGAAAATGTAGATTCATATGCTTGTCCAATTTCTATTTGTCCCTTCTTTTACACTATTTATTCGGACTGTTGTTCTCATTGACATATTCACATTTCAGCTGTTGTACACTCCGACCATCTTCAGGTGATATACATGGAATTTTGAACTGAATCCTTTATTTAGTTCACAGGGGTAGATTGTTCTAGTTCCATATTTCATGCCTCTTCTGGATATCTGTTTTTAGTTGAACTCACTGATGTTCCCAAGAACACATGACTCAGTAGATAAAAGCATTGGTTGAATTAACCCAAAAACTGACTTGACCCAAAGAGTTGTGAGTTCAATTTGTAGTCACAGCAGAGGTGAACAAAAACTTGGAAAGTTGAGTTACTAAAGGGAATCAACGGAAACTGAGATATCCAGAAAAGGTTTGGCATGTGGAACTAGAACAATCAATCCCCGTTTCGGTTTAAAACTCCAATGTATATCACCCTAGAAAGGCCGGAGCGTACAACGGACAAAACCTTGTGAATATGGCAATAAAGATAAGAACAACAGTTCAAATAATGTAAAGCATGTAAATAGTTATGTCCATTCTTTTTCTAAGATGAATAACTTGAAAACAGAACCCAGAACACATTTCATATGGATGCTGTTTTTTTCACCTGTGTTCACGTTTCTTCAAAGATCATCTTCATGAGAAAAAAAAAAAAATTAATCAACAGACTTTGTGGTTTGTGAATTTTCTTGTTCATGTTCTTGCATGTGCTTTTGTAAAGAGTAATTATATAAGAATGCAGTACCACACACTTTACAAGAAAATGGTTTCTCTCCAGTGTGAATTAGCATGTGCTTTTTTAAATTTGAATTTTCTGAAAATGGGTACCCACAAATTTTGCATATATAAGGTTTCTCTCCAGTATGTGTCCGCATATGTCTTTTTACATCTGAACTGTTTGAAAATGCAGATGCACATACTTCACAAGAATATGGTCTCTCTCCCGTGTGGGTTCGCATATGCCTATTCAGATTTGAATTAGTTGTAAATGCAGAATCACATACTTCACATGAATATGGTTTCTCACCAGTGTGTGTTAGCATATGGTACTTTAAAGATAAATGGTGTGAAAATGTAGCACTACACACTTCGCAAGAAAATGGTTTTTCACCAGTGTGTGTCTGCAGATGTTTTTTCAAATAAGATTTATCAGAAAATGCAGAATTACATATCTCACAGGAATATGGTTTCTCTCCAATGTGTGTCTGCATGTGTCTTTTCAAGTGTGAAGTGCGTGAAAATGCAGATCCGCACACTTCACACGGATAAGGCTTCTCTCCAGTGTGTGTTCGTATATGTATTTTCAAAGTTGCATTAACTGAAAATGAAGATCCACACACTTCACATGAATATGGTTTCTCTCCAGTGTGTGTCCGCATATGTCGTTTTAATTGTGAAAATTGTGAAAATGCAAATCCACACACTGCACAACAATACGGTTTCTCTACAGTGTTCACCTGCATGTCTTTTAAAATAGGGTTTCTGTGAAAAATTAAATCCACAAGAATATTATTTTTTTTAATCACTGTGTGTGGATATGGTCTTCTAAAATAAGTTCTTTGAAAAACAGCTCTTTACTTGATTGTATTTCTGCTTCAGTATGTTTCACCATATAGGTTTTTCATCAGGTTCCATGCACATTACAAAATATAGTTTTCAGATCACATTTAAACGGCTTTTCTTCTGTGTCCTCACATGTACTTCCTTCACCAAAATGGTAATCCCAAAACACATCTATCCAACAGATATTCTAACACTTCTTTAAACAGCAAAACAAAGTCAAGACTTTTTGCAAGGATACTTTTGTAAGAGTAAAGAGGAGTGTTTGGGAAAAGGATAAAGAGAAGGACAGGGATCAATGTCAACACATCAGATGTCGGTTGACATTACATTTGAATATTTGAAGATTATAGCCATCAGGGAAGCAAGTGATAGGAAGGAAGTTCCACTGACTGGAGGTGCGAGATAAAAGCTGCTGGACTAGAAGAGATGGCTACATTTAGCCATTTTGTGAGTGAAAGGGTTGAAGCTGGATGCCAACCTTGTAGCATGCTTTAATTCATGCAGTTTGGTAACTAGTAACAGTAGCTTGTCGAAGCAGTTGCCATGAAAATACTTGTAGAAAAGTGAGGGAAGCCACAGCACATCTGTGAGAAAGTGACTGTAGATGGGATGCCAGATCAGGACCAATCACGTTGCACATCTGTCTCTGAATTTTGTCAAGGACATCCGAATACTTAGTATCATGCTTACTTTCAGACGAGAAAACCTGTAACAAAAAAAAAAAATAAAAAACATTGTTAACATTTTAAAAAAAAAAAAAAAAGGATTAAATCAGTTTGCATTTCAATTGTGAATATTTTATTTTTTTAAATCTTTTTTCAAAGAATCAGCAATATTATTGGTCCTAATCTGGCAGCTCGGCTTCACTCATTTCTCCACTGCCATGAGGTTTCCTTCATTTTGTTTCAATGTTAAAACATGCATGCAAAATGTAATGCATTACATCACAATATTATTTATTCTTTTATTAGTATATAAAAAATAAAATCTATACACAGAATACAAAGAAAGTTATAACACAGTAGATGCTCGTGCTTTTTGCACCCTCAAAAAAAAAACGTAGTGGCAAAAGGGAACAATTCCAGTAGGAATTTGGTGAGGTAAAGGTTAAAACAATTGCAGAGTTCCCATGTGTACACTAATCTGATGGAAAAGTACCAAGTAGGGATACTGATGCAACTGAATTATATTGTAATTAAAAAAAACTCCGAGAGAAAATATATGTAAGAATGTTTATTTTGTTTTACAAAAGAAAAAGGAAAAATTATTAGTTATGAAAAGATTTCATGGATATACAGGGTGTCCATAAAGTTCGTGTGCACTTTAAAAAATTTATAACTTTATTTGTATTTGCGATAGAAACAATTTGTAAAAAGTATTAGAAAGAAGTAAATCTATATTTTTTAAGGTTTTATTGAAATTTTATTTAAGTTTCCGCATGTCCTCCATCATTAGCAATACAAAGGGTAATACGATTTTGCAGTTCATGGAAAACATTTGCCAACTGATTTACAGTAATGCCTGAAATCACATTAGTTATTTTAGCTATACTTAAAACTAGGTACATTAAACTTTATAACATTTTTTACAGATTATTTCTATTGCAAATACAAATAAAGTTATAAATTTTTTAAAGTGCACACGAACTTTATGGGCACCCTGTATAATGGGTAAGCTGTCATCATTTTATATTTTTAATTTTGTGCATGTGTGCTTTTTGATTTTGTCAACTGCACAGTATAGGAGGGTCAGTTGGGCACCATCTATGAAAAAAAGAGCACTATGGCGCAATTCACTCCACCAGAAATTTGGAAACGGCATGCTTATAACACCCAGGAATTTCCAATAGAAAACATTTCTTTTCCTCCGAAGCCATAGTTCCAATGCAAACATTTCAAAGTGTTTATGTGTCAATCTGAGAACACAGCAGAGGATTCGAAAAGAGTTAGATGAGTCTAATGGTGATTACAAAGATATTGCAGCTTGGAAAACGCATTCTGATCATTCTGATATGAACTCCTGAATTCATTGTTGAGGGCCTCAGACTCAATGTGGGGGCCTACATTAAGTGCCTTGACAAGGCAGTGCTGAACATTGATGATGATTAAGTTAGACACTAATCTGACCTGACCCCCAACAAAACACTCATTTATTATTCCATTAATTAAAAGAATTTATCATTCATTTGCATTTGTGAACATTCACTCCAGCAGTGCTTCTCAACTTTTTGCAGGCTATTGATCTTTTTTTTTTTCTTCAAAAAATTCAAATGGACCACTCCTACTTTTACTTTTAGGCTGTTCAATTTTCACAGTAAAATATTCAATGAAAAGACAAAGTAGTCTATTTACACTTTTAAATTTATTTTAGTAAACAAGGATAAATACAGGATATCAAAATCAATTTTGATGATGTCATTCAGTCTTAGTTCATTCAGCTAGTGATTATCTTGATCTTGGTGTTTCTCACACAAGAAATCAAAATCAATTTTGATGATGTCAAAAGTCCATTCAGCTTGTGGTGC